AATGACTGCTTCATCAAAATCTGCTCCAAGGCTCTAAAAATCTTGGAAATCGCTAGAAAAAAAAAGAAAAAAAAGCTTTTCGCTGAATTATTAAAACCTCAAGAATATTCCTCACTTTTTATTACTACACACAGGAGAACAAAAGTAAGAAACTATATATGAGCAGTTAACGAATATAAAATCATTTCAACTAACTTCACACCATAGTTGTTCATATTCAGGAAAATATTAACCAGTATTCTCATACGTTTGCCTTCATCTAGTTTATATGGAATTAAATTGGAGACAAATATTTTCTCTATTAATAATCTGAAATAGTCCTTTTCTGGTATTGACATTATTTTTTACCAAAATAAATTTGTATCAATTCTTGAATTATCCTTTAAAATTTAAAGTACGTAATCAGATTGTGAAACTCGTCCCAAAATTTATACAGTGAGATGATATTGAAATAAACAACTGGCTCAAAAAAGATACAGAAATCAATACCTATCTTCGGAAATTGGTTGGTAATAATGATTCATGATAGCAGAGAATATGTTAGAAACAGAGGAACGTTCCAAATTTGTTAGTTCATCATTACTAAAAATTGTACGATGAAGATGGGAAAGTCCACGAATCACCGCATGCCGAACCTTGACCTGAATGAAAAAATAAAGATATTGAATATGATATCGAATTTGAAATATCATTTCTAATAATTTTTATATGACTAAATTAGCATCAGGATAAATAATTAGCGAGTGAAAGCCGAAATCAATAAAATCAGATCAAGCCAAATAAAACACATTTCGGTCCCAAACATCAAGTTTAATGCACATCACACTATAATATAATACTTAAAATTTAAAAAGGCACGTTTTACATATGAAAGTGATATAAAGCACATGACAATTTATCGATTAACACAAGCTGGAAAATTTAAAAAAAAATTGCTTTTTACCTTTTTATCTCGAATTCTGTCGATGACATATGTGAGAAGCCTTTCACTTAAGGCTTCAAATTTCCGTCTTGCCAATCCTTGTACCATCGTAAGGACTTCCAAACGAACGCTCTCATCCAGATCTTGACAACGCGAAATAACAGCATCTGAAAATATCCAACTCTAAAATCTTAGCTCATAACGAATTATTTCATAATGTGGCCAAAGCAGTGTAGATCATGAATCAATTCTTTGTAGGTCATAAATCAATTCTCATGTTATTCAGCTTTAAAATATTAACAAAAAATAAAGAGGAGAAAAAACTTCAAAATAATAAAAAATGTCTTTCAATCCAATTCTATTCACTTCCAAAAAGTAGTATTATACGAAACCTGTTACTTGTCCCCTCAATTCTGGATGGAACACGAGAATATCTTCAGCATTTCTGGTACATATACGACGGATTTCTTCATTCACATCAGCGAAGCGTTTCATATATTCGCTCCAAACTTCAGGTTCATCTTCAGCCATATGAGAATTCTGATCACCAAAAAGATTTCCAAACATACGAACGGCTTCACGACGTACATTAATATCTTCATTCTAGAAATTCACGAGATAGAAATGAAAGAGATTTAAAAAAAATCATAGTATCAAACATACAATAATTTTCGATGAATCAAGAACAATCAAAAACTGATTAACCATCGAAGTCACAAGCAGTGCCAAAAGCTTTACAGTGGCATTACATCAGCTATAAAATCATATTGGTTCAAAGTCGTCGATAAAATTAGGAAGTTTAAATTACATGCATCTGATTGACTAATATTGGAAGTACGGAGGAAATCAATTCTGGAGCAAATTTATGAAGTTCGCAAATCAAATCGTATAATTTTTTTGGAGAAATTAATTCGCATTCATCCAAAATACCTGTTTCCAGTCCACGTTTTAATAGCTGAAACTTTAAACTCTTTCGGACAGAAATAAAAGCTTGTGAATGGTTGCAAAACAAATTTTGGATTAGTTTTTGTGAAATTTAATCGATTTTTCGAAAAACACTTAATTTCTTTAGAAACAGTATTTGCATACATAAGTTCTTCTTTTGCGCAAGTAAAAAAATTTTTACGAAAAACAAACTAAAGCAACATATGGTTCCAGTGTTGTTTGATTTGTTCGGATCAAATCACGTGCCATAAGATAAGCTTCATGATTATTTATCTGAAATCAACATATCAAAAATGAGAAAAAACATATAAAGCAGTGCTTTTAACATATTATTGCTCAACCTTCAACCTTGAATGTCAGATGTCGGTGAAAATACTATCCAATAAAAAAGCAAACTTTTTGCGGCTGCACAAGGAAGAAGAAAATTGCATCCAGAACAATATTTGAAATCTGATCAACTCCTTGGATCAATTTAGAGCACACTGCCATAAGCATCCTTTGAACATGTTCATCAGCATTTTGCTTGTTAATATTATTAAAAAATTGTTTGATCAATTGCCGCAGAATCACATGAGCATCATCTCCCAGTTCTAGAGCTAGCTGCATTGTTTCTACCACCAAAATATTCTGAAAATTGTTGTACTTGGATCAATTTAGAGCACACTCCCATAAGCATCCCTTAATCTTCTAAAGAATTTCGGTCAAAAGCATATACCAAGAAAGAAATATTCCAAGTATAAAGAATGAGGAAATTAAATGAAATGAGATTACAAAATTATCAAATATTTTATCACAAGTAAGAATTAACCTCAAGAAGATACAAATAAAACTGATGTGTCGAACTTTCCTTATCTGGAACATTTCCAATCACTGTTGTCAGGAATAGTAGCACATTCTGCAACAATTTAATTTGACTTCTTAAATTGGAATTTCTATTTAAAGAAAGAATTTCGAGCACACGATTTTAAAATATGACACAAATTTGTCATTGCTTACATTAAACTCTATTGAATATAATTGTCAATAAATTAAACTAGATGTTTTAAATATGGAACCATAATGTTTTGCTGCCCACTCGCTTGGTTTTTTAAATTCTGCATTTAATTTTTTATCTCATAACAATGTCCATAACAATTTAAACATTCCTTTGCAAACTTGAATTCCTTTTTTGAATCAAAACCGCTTTTCTACTCTAACCTTAAGCAGAGATTGATTTTCAAGTGGTGAGTTCGGCGCAAAAATCCGAAAAAGATCTGCGATACAGCATGCTAACAACAACTGCACATCACCGTTTTTATTGCTCAAAAATTGTGAATCAGTTAAATGAAGCATCAAATCTTTGTAGCGATTCGGAGCATCGGCTTCCTCATTTGTGGCCTCACCTTTCAACATTTCGGACAAAACCTAAAACAAGTAATCAAGGTTATTTAAATAATTATGAAAGCCAAGAACGAAGTGCATAACTGACTTTTCCGTTGCATTTTTTCACGTGTCTCCATGGTGAATTTTTGGCTATTCTTCTGAGTAAAGAGAAAAAAAAAATATTTCCAGTGTCCTGAGCGGTATAACATTTAAAAAATAAAGTTTAATCCAGACAGTAAGGTGACTGTCCACATTGTTTTCTTTCTTCTCTTTTTACTTTGTCCATAATTGAAGTACTTAAATTAAATAAGTGCTGGAAAAATAACCTTCAGGCGCTTCAACAATTCTGTATTTTTAATACCCGCACTGACTGGCTTACATCCTTTCGGATATTTTATAGTATTTGAAGGCATACTTTTAATAATCTCTATTATCCTGAAAAAAAATGAAAGGGACTACAAAATGTAATAAAATATTCAGTGGATTATTCATCCACAATAAAAATGTATAGTTAATTATAAAGTATTCAGTGGATTATTCATCAACAATAAAAATGTGTAGCTAATTAGAATAAAAATAGATCTCGCTATATCTATATCTTGAAACTGATATTGCATAAGCTAATTGTTATCAGTAATTATCAGATCAGGAAGAAATAATGATAAAGGATTGATCTGCGGTATAATCCATCTCAAATGTATTCTTCTCTTTCCTCTCAATCTACTCGAATAATCTCAACTACTAGAACGCAACCGTCGGTACCTCACTCCGACAGGTACCATCCTAGAGCTACCATCTCACAAACCTTATAATATTCGCGCGCAAATGCTCTCATACGTATCGATATGCAAATTGTACATCTCAGCATATTCTTTAAGAAAGTTAGAAGTGAGAATGGTAAGTGTGAATGATTAATTCAAGTAAGAAATAAATCAAAAAATTTATTTTCCCGCACTGTTTATAGCAAATTTCACTTTTTCAGTTTAAATTTAAGTTTAATTCTTTAATTTAAATTGAAATTGTTGAGCTATTGAACTCATTTTTATCCTATTTTTAGCATTTCATTTCTTTTTTTCTGGACGAGAGAATATGAATTCTCAGTGAGAAATAAATGATTCTAAAATTTTCAGATTCGAAAATTTTATTGAATATTTGACAATATTATTATGCACATACAGCATATAAATGAAGGATGAAAACAGTTTTATTAATTAAAAATCATTGAAACAAATATTTGTGAAATATTTTTAAACTTATTGCAAATCATTTATTTACAATAGTTCAAATAAGAAAAATGATGAATAAAATTAAAAACAATTGATAATTAATTTGTTGATGAAATTCATTGCTATATATTTGATATTAACATTCCTTTACTTTCTAAAATAAATAAGAAGAAAAAAAAAATTTTCCGAGAATACTTTCATTTTGTTAAAAGATGAATGAAGTGATTGAAATAGCTCTAATTTGATACCTTTATAAATTTTTAAATTAATAATACTAAATTTTGTTTCAATATCTAAGCGTTATAGTTATTTTGAAAATAATATTTCTATTATACATTTGTGAATGACATACATTTTCTTTGTATATTAAATCAAATTTAAAATTTATTATGAATTAAAAAGAGATCATATATTTGAGGTTAAATTTAAAATTTTAAGTTAAAACATTTGAAATTGTAATTTCGATCTGATTCAAAATTTGATCCAAAATTCCATTAAAATTTTTCTTATCGAATATCCATAAGCAAATAGTGTTGAGCTTATCGTTAGCTATAGCCATGAATAATTTGTGGTACTCGCGGTTGTGTCAACTGAGTAAATCGCAACAATGATTCTTTGTTATTCGACAAATCGCCAACATCAAAATAAATTCGACTGCTAGGATTCAAAAAGACTGAAAATTAGGGAACAGATATTAAATTCATTTTTATTTTTCATTTTTAAGAAATTCAAAAAAAAAAAAAAAAAAACTTATGATCAAATGCAAATATTTGAATATCCATGTAAAATGTGTCATCAAAATGTCAAATAATCAAATTTATTTTTCTTTTTTTTCTTTTTTTCTTGATTTTTTAAATTTATTAACACTCAAAATAGCATTGTTTTAATGATTCTTGTAGTATCTAATATTATATCAAAATCTATAAATTTCTTAATTTGAATCATTTCATAAAATATAGTAGTTATTAAAATATATTTTCATAAAATATATAATTTCATAAATTTCATGGAATATAATAATTTCATAAAATATAGTAATATAGATTATTAAAAAAATTAGTTTGCTTATAGTATCACAAAGTGTAATTCAATTTGCTTACATATATGTAAGATTAAAATTTAAATTTAATAATGTCAAAAAAAAAAAAAAGGAAAGAAACCTGATGCTGTATGATTATTATTTCTCATCAGTGTACTTAATTCTGTTGGCTTTGTAGTTTGCACAATTTCCTCATTATTTTTTCTTCTTGAATTTTTCCGCTTCATTTTACGTCGATAACAACCGGATACTGCGCAAGCGATCAGTAACATTGATAATCCTATTAGAAAACTCAGAAGAAGACAGAGTAAAACCTTCTCTTTGTTATCTGAAATAAACTTTTTTTTTCAAAATACAATCACCAAAATAAAGTTTAAAGTTTTAGATGCAAAATTTTAATAATATTTTAAAATTTTAGTTAAACATTAGCAAACTTATGAAAAAGAAAAAAAAAAAAAGGTATAGAAATTCTCAGAAATTTTGCTAATACTAATAATATAATCAAATTAACCTTTTATTGCTCGTACTATTAACATACAATCATGTATGAAGCCGAAAGCATTGAAATGATGAGCATTATTTGATGAAGTGAGATCAGTTGAAGTTGAAGTCACTGCGACAAATGCGCTTTCCTCATCTAACTCCTCGTAACTGTTTGCCGACAACGAACTCAAGATAACGTTTACTAAAATTTTCAAAAGGAAAAAAAAAAATTAATAAAATTTATATTGAAATATGGACATGAAAAGAATTATCACATTTCAAATTTATAGAAAAAAAAAAAAAGATAATTAGAAGAATTCATGATAAAATAGATAATTTCTACCATTTTTATTCTTTTGAATAGGTTTGTATCCGAGATTTGGATCATCTTTAATATGAAATGTTCGTTCATTGTCTTTTACAAGCACTGCTTCTGCTTTCTGTAATTTCCTTGGTGATAAATCCTATAATATTTAATAAATACTAAGCAAAAATGACAAAAAAAAAAAAAATAAAGTTAAACTACTAATTTAACAATTTGAAATAGATATATGACACTATTTTATATATCAGAAATACTTCCTTTTATTATCTGAACATTTTACTATCAATTCTAATTTATCAATGAAACATTAAAAAATATTAAAAACTTTTCTAATAAATAAATTTAAAAAAAATGAAAATAAAAGAAATATGTAAACGAATAGAAATAGATAGGATTAGTAGAATTGACTGAAAATACCGAAATGATTTTTTTCATCGTTTCTAAATTTCCTTTCATTGCTGTTTCGGTAAAAATTTCATCGTTCACTATAACACATCAATTATTCGAATTTATTTATTTATTTATAACAAACTACTCATTGGATTATCTCACTGAAAAAAAGCGAAAACAAAAATGCATAAATAATATTACTGAAAAGTAAATAATATTAAAAAATTAGAAAAGAAATAAATTAATTAAATTAATTTAAGTGCATCTTTGATAAGATATGAAATAATGGATCGATCATCGATCTTATCAGTGATCGATCATTCATAAAACTTTTCTATTGATTTGCAGATAGTTTTAGCATTACAAATTTGATATTTCAAAATTTTTAAATAAAATTTAAATTATAAAAAAAAAACGAACTGCACATAAAGATAAGTCTGAGATATTTTTGTATGCCTAATGCGCATCCAACTTTATCCAAATGCTCATCGTTTACTGTCACCGTACATTCTGTTTGCGCATGACAATCATAGAGTAGCTGGCTTAACACATCAATCACACAATCTGTAGTATTAAAAAATAATTTTCAAAAAAAAAAAAATTTTAATTTAAAAGTTCAAAGATTACATGCATTGAAGAAAATACTAAGCGAAGAAATAATTGAGAAAATTGAAATTTTATAAATTAAAATTTATCATGTTATAGTTGAATGAATCTATGAAGTGAAGTTTTTTAATCTAATAGTGACATTCAAGTAAAATGAATATCCTTTTTTTAAGTAAGATAAAGTGAAATAAATTTAAATGTGATAGATGAGGAGGAAAAAAAAATTTGTAATATGAATAGAACAAAGGAATTACTGCTATTAGCTATTTAGCTTGTCACTACTAGCAATCTTTTTTGATTATATCTTATTGAGCTAAGCAATGAATTAATTTTAAATTTTATGCTAAAATTAATTGGAAAATTTGCAAACAATAAATTTAGATTAAATTTTATAATAATTTTATTGCTAAGATATTTTTTTTTTAGCTGGTAAATATTTTTGAAAATTTTTAAAACACATAACATATAATAAAAGGAAAAAGAAAAGCATTCACTCTTAGTTTCAAATTTTCATTGATTAAACAGTTTTAAGCATATTATGTTAAAATAAAATTTAAAATTAAAAAAAAACTAAATGTTTATAGCAATTTTTATGGAATTATTCATTAGATTTTACATTGAAGAAAGTTCAAATTTTAATGATCTAAAAAATTTTTGTAAATTAATATTTCTTCCGTATTTTTATTTTATAAAAATAAAATGATAATTATTAACATTATCAACGCAATGTTTAATATCAAATATTTGTAATTAACGATAGTACATTTAGGGTTATATTTAACAAATCACAAAAAAAAAAGTTGTAAACATTTAATTTTTTAAATTTTAAATCATTTTATAAAAAAAAGAGATTCAATATTGACAATTAATTTGACTGATAGCAACCTGTTTATTTAATATGCCATTTTTTTTATGCTTTAAAATAATTATTCAAGAGTAAACAAGTAGTGAAATCGAAGATCGCATTCGAAAGATTAAATTCGAGAATTTGAAAAAAATACTCTAATTAGTAAATTTAAAATTATATATTTCACATATATGTCATATAGTTCACGTTATAATTTACGTCAATTAAATTCCATAAGTAATACAAAAATGAGTTCTAAAAATTTAAAGTATAAATATTATATACCTTGACTAATTGGAGTATTTGGTGAGCAGTGGTGCATCGTTCGCTCTTCAACTTTTCGGCCATATTGAGCCGAATAAATAACCAATCGTTTGTTTTGTTTGCAACTCAATTGCATTGTTGATCCTTCACAAAATATTTCCTCGTCGAATGATACTTAAAATTATTTATTTAAAATTATTTAAATTATGAAAAAGAGGAAATTATGGATGGGTAATTATCACGGGTAACCAATTTATTCTAAATATAAATAGTACTCGTATTGAAATAAAGAGCCTAAATTTTTAATTCTTTTTTTAATTCAATCATATTAATATTATTTGAACAACTGTTATTATTAATTTGTTCTAAATTTAATTTTTGTTTAATACTCTCATGTCTTTATTAACTTTAAAAAATATCAACAAATCTTTTTTTTTTTTTTATTAACTTTAAAATATATATGTTTAATTTATTAACATTAAAAATAAATTTTAGTTCAACAAATTCAAAATTTTGAGAAGTCTTCCCAAAAAAAAAAAAAAAGAAAATTAAATTATTTAAATTAAAAGTTACTCTCACCTGGTTTACATTTATATGATATTTGTAGATATTTGGAAGTATTTGGACATGGATCAATACCAAAAAATGATGGTTTTACCATAATTTTACATTTTCTCTTATTACGACATTGTTCCATAATTTTCTACAAATTTCAAATTTTTTTTAATTGTTGAAAAAAATTTTCAAATTTTTTAATTGTTGAAAAATTTTTAATACGACATTGTTCCATAATTTTCTACAAATTTCAAATTTTTTTTAATTGTTGAAAAAAATTTTTTTAATATTTGTTTTTTTTTTTCAAAAAAGAAAAAAAAAAGCAATGCTACTTTCAATTGGTAAATAAATCAAACATTTTTTATCGGAAGCAAATTACATTTTTCTTTTCTCTCATTTCATTTGCTAATTGTAATGTGCTAATTTGCTAATTATTCTTCTTTTTCAAATCAATTTCGGTCATTTCTATTTGTTAGCAAAAAAAAAAAAAAAAAAAGAAAAGAAAAGAAAAAACAAAATATTTTGTCTGAGATTATTAATGCCAACTGTCCATCGCTTATTTACATTTATCAGAAATACTATCCATCCATTTTCTCTTATCATAAACAAATTCTTCTTTCTTTTTCTTTTTTTTTTTTTTTGAAAAGACCGCTTTAATATACTAATACTAATTATTTTTTTTCATTGTTTCATTTAAAGTTATATAAAATTTGCTACAAAATTTTATTATAGCTTATTTTTTGAAATTTTCAAATAATAAAAATTTGATAATTTATTAAGCAACTGTCATTTTAATTTGAACATTTTAAAATTGAAAAAAATTTTGGGACAGCTAAAAAAATTTATTTGATAAAAAGTTGGTAAAATTGAATGAATTTTTTGAAATCATAAAATATCTTTCTAGTAATAAATCTTTCTTTCATTTTCTCATAAATTTTATTGAACTTAAAAAAATAACTTTATTTTTTATTTATTTTTCATTATTTTCTTACTTATTTGGATTAATTTTGATTATAATTTTTATAATTTAGTGTCCAATTTTTTTAATGATTTTTTTTTAATCATTGAGGAGCATTTTTTTTATAAAATTATTGAAATTAGATTTAATGGTCATTTTTTCAATCATAATTAAAGGATTCAAAGTAATATTTCAATCATTATTAAATTTACTTTTAAATACTTTTCAAAAGATATATCTATTCATTTGACATAGCCATCGTATGTATATGTAAGCGTTCAAAACCTTTATTTGGAGAATTTTACTCATAATTCATCAGTAATCTTTTTTCAAAACTTTATGATCTTTGCTCTTTTAAAGCTATTGATCAAAGTTCAGCAAAGTTCTAATAATTATTTCTATGAATTAATTAACTTATTTGGTATAACCTAATAAATCTGATCTTTGTGCTCGTTAATAATCCTTCTAGAAATTCAATTTTTTTTTTTTTTTTGTCACCTAGAAATGTCACCGTTCTGTGTCATAATGAATGAAATAGCAAAATTATTTGCACAATTCATAAATATTATTTCAACTGGATTTTTTCAAGTTTTTTGATATTTATCAAAAATTAAAATTAAGCAAAAAATCAATTTCCAAAAAAAAAAAAAACTTTCAGATTAGTTTTTTCAAAAATTCAAATGATAATTCTTATCATTCAGCAAAAATTATTACCAGATAACAAAAAACTATAACCTAGCTTTTTTTCTTTTTTTTTTTTTTTTTTTTAAATGATATTATCAATAATTAATCAACTGTATATTAAGCGAAATCCAAATTTCGAGATTAAATAACTGAACTGAAATATACATAAAATTATTTTACATTTATTAATTTTAATCAAACTAAGTGGAAAATGTTATTGCAATATTCTTTCGCACCAATTTAACATAAACATTTAAACTTTAATCATATAAATTGAAATAAATGCTTCCATTTGTTAATTTTTATTTCAAAATTTTGCTATTTCAATTAAAATTTTTTGATTTATTTAATTTTTTTTTCCTTATAAAAAATTTGAGAATAAAAAGAAAAAAAAAAGCAATGAATAAATGTAATTTTTATGATTATTTTTATAAAATTGTTTCAATATTTTTTTCAATCATTGAAGTGCAAATTGTTAAGAATGCAATAAATGTTCGTATGCTAATTAATCAAATGAAAAAAAAAAAAAAAAAAAAAAATAAAAAATTGAACGAACAGACACAACAAACATTCGTAATTGTTTTCTCACTAAATTAAAACACAATGATAAATAATCGTATCATTTTGCTAAAACAATTCAAATAATCTTTCAACGATAACAATTTTTTACTTTTTACTTTTCATTTCTTCTCTACAATTATATTATAGCAACTTTTAAATTTTATTTTATTTTAATTAATTCAATTCTTATTAGAGTATTAATGAGAAATTTTAATTACTATTGAAAGGAAATTTGAAAAAAAAAAATTGATAAATGATAAAAGAATCATTAACAAAAATATTTAACTAACTAAACAATATTATTAGCATTTCAATTTTATGAATTATTTGAAAATCAATAATTTCTTGGCTCTTGGCTCTTATTAATTCTTTCATTTAAAAAAAAAAAAAGAAAGATGCCAATGCTATCTTTGAACTTACCGCATGAGCATCTACTACATCACAACTGATACTTTCATCGAGCGCAAATTGCTGCTTTGCAGTTAGCGAAGGACAAAGTTGATTGCTTGGTACCAAACGACCATAAAATATATTTTCAAGCAAAATTTGTGTATTTTTTGGACAATGCAATATAATTCGTTCATTATCACATGCTTGCACCAAATTACTTTTTAAGCTTTCCATCATAAGCGCTGTAATTTTAGATTTAAGTAAAGTAGTAACATTTAAGAGTTAAATACTTATTTTTTTTTTTTAAAGAAATAATTTTTATAAAATAATATTTTTGTTTATTCTTTTATGCAATTTTACTTAATTAGTTTTAATAATAAATTGAAAGTTTTTAGCTATTTTGTAAACTGAAAAAAGAATGCAATGTAAGCTAAAAGAATAAATTAAATGCCAAAATTTAAAATAACTTTTTTACTTTCAGTTTAACTTGTATAGTGCAAAAGTTAATGTTTTCTTTTTGATCTTCCATAAAGATTAATTTTTATAGTTCTAAAGAAGTACAAAAAGTTTAACAACAAAAAGAAGAAAAAAGATGAAAAAAGGTACTAACAGAAAATGATGAAAACTTTTGCAAATTTCAATCATAAATTAGCTTATTCACAATATATAAAAATTATCACAAGCACTAATATATCAATTTATTATCATAATTACAAATATTATTTTCTTTCTTTTTTTGCTACGAATATTTTTAAGTTAATTAAATTAAAATGATAACGTGATCAGTAAATTATTTGCTAAAATGTTTAAACTTAAATGATTAATTGAGATACAGTTTTAAAAGATAAAATTTAATTGAATATTCAAATGCTAGGAGAAATGAAAGTATTTAATAAGCAAAGTGTATTTCGTAGTATGAAGAAATCATTGAAATATGATATGAAATAATTAAGTGTGATTTGATGAATTAATTGTCATCGAATTTCTTGATGAATTGCATTTTATTTTTATTTTATTTCGTAAAATGCAAAAGATAAAAGTTACAAACTTTATTAGATTAAAATCATTGTATAATTATGCTAAATAGATATTTATATAATTTATTGTTTATTTATATTTATAATATTGATAGTATGTCTACGACCAGAAAGCTTTATCTATTTACACTATACTAATTCATATTCACAATTGTTTAAACTTTCTCATTAATTAATGCAACATAGTTATGGAAATTTATCAAATGAATTTAATACTTTTTGAAATTATTTCACAACAAAGATTTAACATTTTGATAAATTAACAAATGCTAAATGAATAGGAAATCCTTCTACTAAATGAATAGAAAAATAACATTGTTTAAAAAAAAAATGCTCTCTAATAATACTTATTTCTTAATTTGATACATTAATATTAATACTTATTATGATTATAATTGTTAGATCACAAGAAAAAAAAAGAAAAATAAATATTGAAAATTAAAAATATAAAATAAATAAATTTAAGTAATGAGCGAAAAGAAAAAACAAAAATAGATCAAAACATATCTAAATTCCAATTTAAATATTCCCATGGCTAAAAATAATTAATTATTTAATTAGAGTAAAGGTTAGATGAGCTTGAATTTTCTCAAAATATTAAAAGATAAACTAATGATCTATCATTTTGTACAATATAGTTGACATTTAGGTTGACATCTAAATGACAATTGAATTCATAGAAGTTTCAGGAAAAATTTTTTTACTATCTTTAGCAATTCAGTAGTGGAAAATATTTATGTTTTTTGTCTTCATTACCATAAAATAACATCTGTTTTTGGATTTAAATTTTTGCTCAGTTTTTTTTTTAAATCAATAAAACTTTATTTAGCTATTGATTCATATTTTTTTTTTTAAGAGAAAAAGAAAATTCGAAAAACTATTCTTCCTCTGTTGGAATAAATAAATTTTTCAATTGAAAAAGAGGAAAAAAAATAAAAATAAATTGCTATTTTTAGAGAAAATTAGTAAGGTGAAAAGAAAAGAAAGAATGTATGCAAATTTTATTGGATTTTTCTTTTTTGTCACATTTTTTTAGCTGTGGGAAAAAGAGCAATTTAATAATTCGTTTCCTTTTGCCCAACTTTTTTTTTTTTTTTGTTTGAAAAGATTTTTCATCTAGTTTTTTGGAAGAAAAATTGTTGTAATGCTATTCATTAAACTATTTCATTTCATTTCATTTGAATAGTCTAACATTATCAGATCAAATCTAAAACAATTTTTCTCTTTTTTTTTTTTGATAATTTAAAATTATGTCCTATAATATGAGAGCCAAGGGAAATTTTTAAGCAGCCAAGTCTACTCTACTCTATATTTTAAACTCTATTTCATTATAAGTAAGCATATAGCTTAAGTAATGTATATAATGTCAATTTATGGAAAATTTTTTGCGCATTTATTATAGCATAACTTTGTAGACTAAACTTCATAACTAATTTCAATATTAATACTTTATTAAAACATTTTTTTTTTTTAAATTGTAGTGAAATATTTTAAAAGAGTTTTTACAATTAAACGATAATTTAATTTTGTAAAATAAAATATTCTCTACTACCATTATCGAAATATTGAAATAGGAATGCATATTAAACGCAACTGCTATTTTACTTTTATTATTCATTTTGTCTTAAAAAAAAAAAAAATTTAAATGTATTAAAAATTTAACAAACCATTGATAATTTCAGAATTAGTATGACTGGATGTTGCTAATGCTATCACTGTTGCTGTTGCTGTTGTTGTGGTGGTGCTAAACCAGCCAAGGCAGTTCATTGTTATAGCCAAAAGCACAATAAACATGAATATTTAGGGCCAAGATTTCAACTTTCTGCTTTTTGAAATTTTTAGAAATGAACTAAAAATTTTTAATATTTTTCATAATTTTTACAGAACACAGAGTTTGTAGCATATATTTTTGATTATAATTAAAGTTTGTCTTCTTTTCTTCCCTTAAAATTAAAAATTAATTTCAAAAAAAAAAAAATCAAACAGTAAATGTTAAAAAGTGAGTAATATGAAATAACAGCTATGATTGGAAGAAATATGAGGACAGTAACAGCTGTTCAAAAATATTTCCTATCTTAGTTCTAGTAAAAATACCAGACATCTCTTTCTATGAAAATAATAGTGTAGTGAATCTTAAAAGAGCGCAAAAATATTCGATAAAAATTTTATAAAATGATAAAAAACAAAGATTGCATTGGTACTAAATGATAAAAATTATCCAATTAGATTAACTCTTAATAATTTGAATTAATTATTATTAGTAAAATATTATTAATTGTAATAAAGTAATAATAAAAACTTTCAGCAATGATAATGATAATAATGACTTATGAATAATGACTAAAAGTAATCTTATTAACAGCTTCAATAGGGATAGTGCCAATAGTAACAGAAGATTATCCTAGGCTCTCAGCACTATCAGGTCACTCTTGGCTATCAGCATTATCAGGTCACTCTTGGCTCTCAGCACTATCAGGTCACTCTTGGCTATCAGCATTATCAGGTCACTCTTGGCTATCAGTACTATCAGGTCACTCTTGGCTATCAGCATTATCAGGTCACTCTTGGCTATCAGTACTATCAGGCCACTCTTGGCTCTCAGCACTATCAGGTCACTCTTGGCTATCAGCATTATCAGGTCACTCTTGGCTATCAGTAATATCAGGTCACTCTTGGCTATCAGCACCGCCTTTATTAAAGTTGTTAAAAAAAAATTAGAACTATTCAAATATTTGCCATAAATTCATTCGAAGTTTTCACTATAAAAATCTTCCCAAATAGGCTATAAATAATAAAAAGTACAAAGAAGCAAAAGCGATCAGTTAAGTTCGACAGCACTAAACTTAAAATTTCAATTCCTTTTCGATGTCGTAGTCAGCAATGGGCGTGGCATAATTATAGTTACATATTACAAATCGGTTAGAACGGATGTAAAACAGAGCAGTGATCAGCTAGATGAGCTAATATGATATCATATCAGTGCTTTTAGTTTATTATCAATCAAATTTGATAAAAAAAAAAAAAAGAAAAAAAAAAAGCAAATAGATTAATAGGTGTGTAATGGATGAGAAAGAAAGGAGAAAGGTTATTCTTAACAAATTTTTTCTTTTCATAATTGAATTGAAATTAATAAAATAGCAATATGCAATCATTCACTTAAACTTTACTATTAATTAAAATTAATTAAAAAACAGTTAAGTCAGATTAATAAAATAATAGTATACAATCATCTCTTTAAATTTTGTTATTCTTTACAAAATGACAATCCATCATCCATTTTATCATGTTCATATCGTTATCATAATGTTTATCACTGCTACATTATCACCAACAGCTTAATTTCCCTTCAATTCTTCAGTATCATAAGTGTGCAATGCTGTCACTACAATGGTGAAGCTACAACCTAATGAACAAAGACTATTGTTTTAAATGACTTTAATCCACCCATAAAATCCTCCCAGTTTCTTCCTTACAAAGCCATTCATTATAGTTCCTTGTTTGGTATGACTCGGTTGCGAGGTGTCTAGCTTGCTTGTATCTTTAAATGTTTTATAATTAAGTTACATTTGTGTGTTATGTATCAATTCATTACTGTAATGTTGTATAATATTTAATGTTAATCTTTGGTTTAATTACCCAAGCTTGAGGTTTAAAAATAAAGTATTTTAGGAAGACTCCCACAGTACACGTACACAGAACGGAACCAGTACAAACTCGAGATTCTACCAGTATCGAGGACAAAGAAGTCAACGATCTGAACCATCAAGAAAGGAAACCTACTTTGTTTCACAAAGAAAACAGGGCAGTAAGAAAGAAATTCTAAATTTGCTTTTGCAAATGCATGATTTGGGAGGTTCAGATAAATTATCATAAAATTTTTTCCGAAATTTGAAATTTTTATGTCATTAAATTTTCATTCATTTTAATCATTCAAATTGTCAACATTCATGAATACTTTACCTTTAATAAATTTAGATAAAAATTAAATATTTAAAAGGAAATTAAAGAAAAAGCATTGCAGCGTGCATTGTGTGCAATGTTATAACACATTGCGCTCAGTTATAAAATGAGGAAAAAAAACTTTGAAAGAAATGAAAAAAGTTTTTCTCATAAAAGTCAAACATTCTAAAAAATTTTAATATGTTCACATATTTGATACTGATTAGTCTATTTTTTACGAAATATTGCGATTCTAATTTAAAATTAAATTCTAATTGAAATTCCAATTCTAATAAAGTAAGCTATTTTCAAATGCAAAATTTGTTTACACAAAAGAATATTGAAATATGAATTTTCTCACTCATTTACAAAATCTTTGAAAATTAATTTGTGCTATATATAATCTAACAAAATATATGTAATTGTATTATTATTTGTAGGATATAATTTTGGAGATTTAAATTTAAAATTGTTGATAATTTAGCATTTCAACTGAGAATTCATGTTTTGAGGAAATTTTTGATGAGTATTTGTTATGACATTATAAATTGATCAATTTGCGGAGAAATTAACACCTAAAATTAGTGCAATCAACAAAATCTAATTTGTGTTGTAAAATTTGTTGACAATAAATATCCAAAATTCCTGTCATATACACTGGTCATATAAGTGATACCAAAATGTCATATCATAAAAATATATTTCGAATGAAAAGATAATTTGAAAATTATGAAAATATTTATGACAGGCGGTGTTAGAACTAACCGACAAAAGTTTAATTAAGCATGTAAAGTTGAGAAGAGGAGAAATTATATAATAAAGAGCAAAAATAAATTAAATGACATGATATGAATAATTGAGTAAATAAAATTAAATATTAGATAAATAAGAGATTACAAGAAATACGGATTTGTTTTAGAGTATATTCCGGAAAATGTAGAAAAAAACTGAGATAAGATTTATTGTCAACAAACAAATTCTTTTATTTTTCCTACTTAGCTAATGCAACTTCACATGAAGAAGCTTTTTCGGCATCACATCTGTTCAATCCACTTATTGTTGATAGCACTACTGAGCTGAACATCCTTTGGAGTAAATGGAGAGGACAGGAAGCGACAAGAGCAGTGCTACACCTACTTCATCCAATGAAGCGCAACAAATTAGGAATGAAGCAAAACGAATAATGCAATCATCGATGCTGGCATTATATACATCATCCTGTCATCTTCATATTTTATTTGGGCAACTTACCACCTAGGGTAAAAAGAGAAAAAAAAAAACAAAAGAAACTTAAGGGTTATTTTAATGATTATTATTAGCAGCAAAGCATTGCCATTCATATATTTAAAAGATTTGAATTTTTTAAAATATACCCATTATAAAATAATTTAATGGTAAAAGTTAAAAGAGTTACCCATTTATTTTACCATAATCTTTTATCAATTAAAGAAGTAAAAAGCTTTTACTCTATTACTTTCTCTCTAACAATAGACTTAAAATTTTTAATTTTCTATAAGTAAAATTTTATTCAATTATAAGTGTAATTTAAAATGCAATTCATTTCATTCATTTTCAAATTTTGAGCACCCTACTGCGTGATTATCAATTGGATAGCACATCACAGTAAAAGGAATAACTTTCAGTTAAAATTTCATCCCGAAAAGTTTCAAATTTATTCCTAAAAGTTAAATTATCTTTGAAGTATAACAGATGAAGTTTTGATAATGCTAAAATTCTCCTTCTAGTAGAAACTTTCTGAATTTCAGATTATTTTATTAAAAAATTTCTTTCATTGATTTTTGTCCATTTATTTTGACCTTAAATAGTTAGAATTATTAAAAACAATAAATCATATTATGTTTTAAAAAATCTTCGTTTGTTTCTTTTCGAGATTTAGACTATTTTTTTTTTTTTTTTTTGATCAAAACTATTAAATTTAAAAATTCTTAGAAGAAAACGAGTGAAGGCGCTAAATTTGTGTTCATAAAAATGAATTCAGATCACTGATAGAGAAAATAACTTAATCAAAATTTCTTCAATTTTTAGAATAAACAACAGTGATAATTAAAAATTCTAATTCCGATCAATATTTTTACATTTGCTACCTTTCATTAAATTACAAATTCAATTATTAAAATGATAGAATATTAAAAATTCGTGATTAAATTAATTTCAAAAGTTTGCAGTTCTTTTTGTAACTACAAATCTCTGCAAATTGTTTAATTTTTTAAGAAATACATTCTGAGCAAACATATTTGGTTTTAAAAATTCACTTAAGAAACATTTGTTAAAACCAAAAAACATTAATATTATTCAGTAAACTATTAGAAACATGCAATCAGCATATCCTCCTCTATTCAATCAAACAGTCAAGACAATATTTTAGATTTTAAATTTTACCTCAGTTTTCTTTTTTTTTTTTTGAAAGTTCTAGTGAAATATTTATTATCAGAAAAGATGAAATTAGTATATCATCGAAATGATTAAGGAAGGATGAAACTAAAATGAAAATGGCAAAAGATGAAATGAAATGGGGTGGAAATTCAAAGAAAAAGCATGTAAAATGGAAAATGTAAAAGGAAATTTGTTCAAATTTGCTACAACTCTGAAATGCGATAATGAGGAAAATTTTGATATAAAATAAAATTGAATTTCAATTTCTTCAACAATTTTATTCAAATGTAAATTTTAGACAAATCAACAACAACAACAACAATTTAAAAAGTATTCTAAGGGTATAAGCTGTATCGATCAGTGAATATGCATTTCAATATATTTTAATATAATTGTTATTTATTTATTGAAATTTTTAAAATGGACATTTCTGGTGAAAGTATTAAAATTGAATGATAAATAATTAATTATGCAATTAAATGTAACTTTTTTTTTTTTATTTTTTGAAAACTACATCAGATTATTATTTATTTCCTCTAATAAACATATAATGAATGCTTTTTTTGATAAGAACACGTAATATTTTAATGAGATATTTAAATACATTACAAAGTTATTAACTTTAAGAAACGAATACCTTTAATTTAAACTGAATTTAATTTTTATTAAAATTATTACATATTTACAACTTTTGCTAATATTATTAACAAAATAAAAGAAAAAGGATTAGATTAAAATACTGTGAAAAATTTTTTTTTTCTTGATTTATTGTTTTTGGTGTAGTATGTCTTGGCCGTTGCTATGGACATAAAGAAAAAAAAAAGAGCCTTAAATGGCTTAATATGAAAATATATTTGCTTACTATGCTAGGCTCTATTATATTTCATTAAAAGATAACTGATATTTTCTTGTGAATAAGCAAGGAAAGAAGTAAATAAGCTTAAAATAAAGAGTTATTATTGTCTGATTTATGCTATTTCAATTGAAATTTGAACTAAAAAAAAAATCCATCCTTAGATTTATTAGAATTTGAATGAAATAAGCATAATTAATTTTAAAATTAGCTAGTTAGATTTCGATGACTTATCTAAAAAAGATCAATGGTTGAATGATAATTCATTGATAACCATTGTGAAAAATAAAATTAAATTTAATTCAGACTAATTTTAGGGTTCTTCAAAATATTGGCAAATGATTCATTCGTTATAAATGAAAAAGAAGGAAATGGATGAATAGCTAATGATAATTTAAATTAACACTTATTTTCGTTAATAGAAAATGAAAAATTCAATTTTCAAAGTTGAATTTTTTTTTTTCTTTCTGTAAATTTGAAATTCAAATTCTCTCATAAATAACAATAATTTTTCTTCTAATCAAAATAATTATTACATTAGTTGTTGGCTCAATTTAGAAATGAAACTATGTGATCGTTAGTAATTAAAATAACTTATTGAATAGTTCAATTTATTTATATAATTTATTCTTTGATTCTTTTGCGCCCAATGAATAAAATATTTTTTGGTCTTTGGTATTAATTCGAAATTCCTCTACATTTGTTATTGTTTCAAAAAAAAAAAATTGAATTTTATTTAAAATTGCATGTTTCTTTCATTTTTCTCAATTTTACCTATTGAATTATCTAATATATTTGATCACATTTAATTACTGATCTTTTTATCATGATAAATTATAGCGATTATTTATTGTACATGAAATTTATTCAATTCATATTTTGCTATGATCGCAATTATTTTATAATAAAATGAAATTAATGTAAGTTACATTTTAATAATTTACAGAAAAATATACGTTCTAATGCATTTCTAAATTAAAATTCCTTTTTTCGAATTCCACAAGTTAAAATAGCACTTATGCGACGAGAAATGAACAGAAAAAATCATTTGCCGCCAAGTTATTCTCCTACTATACAATTTAATTCTCATTGCAAAATCGCAGTGATAAGTTATCAGTGTTAACACTATTTAAATATGTATCATTAATATGGTACAGTACACATGACAAAAGCGCAAATGTTATCAATGCTACTTTTGCATCAACATTAATGGTAATGTTTTTATCTCATGATCAATCAATCAATCAATCAATCGATCAATCACCTATATTTTTAATTTTGTTCTTCGTCTAGCATTATCCCTTCCATCACAAATGTTGAATTAATCATAAGACTAAAATGATTAAATGGATAAAAATCGCAAAGCATGAATCCAAAAAAGAAAATAACTGTTCAGTTCATACAAAAATTCAGTTTATATGAAATCCATATAATGGTACCTAATTTCTTATAAAAGGTTATCACTTTAATAAAACTTAGATATTGATATTTTCTTATTATGTTAAACCACATATGCTCCACACAATCATTTCTGTCATATTTCACTTCAAATTTTTCATTCGATTCACCAAATAATAAAATATAGGAAAGAGTTCAACTTAAAACAATGCATACAGAATGATTAAGTATATTCTAGGAAAATTAAATTTTTCCAAAAATATCATTTTTCTGCATTATCTGCATTTCCCTTATAGCATATTTACCTAAAAGTGTTATTTACTTTTAAAATTACCCACTACAATAATTGCTCTTGCTGATCGTTCACAGTATCGGCTGTAATGCATTTGTTTACATACCACATAATATTTGTATGTATTCGAAGAACAATTCCAATTTTTTGAGAAAAAAAAAAAAGAAATTAAACAGAGAAAAATAAACAAATACAAACCATTCGGAAATATAATATTCTTTTATCCAACAATTCCATACAATTACATAATCTAGTTCCCGAAAATATCATTTAGAAGTCCGACAGTTTACACAAGACAAAAACATGGACAAGCGTAACACTATATGTAAACTTTTGTTAAACAGGAAGTAAATCCTGCAAGCCAAATAATCAGCAAAACATGAAATAAAATAAAAATTAAATATTATTTAAATACATGCAAATACAAATGAAGTGCACTATCTATACCAGAAGATAACAAATAATTAAAAAAATTACAAAATTGAAAAAAAAAAAAAAAGAAAAAAAAAAGAACATCCCATACTTCAACATCGAGGCTTTTTGTGACTTGGTCAACTGTTACACAAAAAAGATAAGTACAACAAATGTTCATATGTAAATCCTGCAAACCAATTAACAATACATTGAAATCACTACTTTAAGCAGTAATAAAAGTTGACATTTCTTCGTCAGACACTACAATGATCTTTAAATTTATTAAAATGATGCTCATCTAAGATAAAAATTATGAAAAAAAAAAACCAACAATTTATGTTTGACATAAAAATAGAAAGCAAATGAAAATTTGGATAAAAATTCGAACTAATAACATCTCTGATTAATGGCTAAATGCAATGAGCTGGAATCATAAAATATCAGCTTTAGCTTCTGGATAAAATTAAGCAGTTTTGAAGTAATCCAATTTCTACGTTCTTGATGCAGCTTGCTAAACTTCTTAAGATTTAACTTCTTACAGAATTCATCAACAGGAACACAAAACTAACAAGAAATGAGAATGACGAAAGAGAGAAATACCTTCATTTATAAGAAGTTGACCGGTGTAAAACTAAATTGATCACCCATAAACTAGAATAAAGTATCTCATTTACAAACCTAAGCAAGAGAAACAAATTTAGCTATTATCACTATCAGTGATGTAAACTGTGTAACAGTCAAAAATTATTTATATTTAAATTTAATAATGAAATTGTATATTTCATTAATATTTGTAATTATCAGTAGCCATATTATTATGATAATTCATTAATTCATTGTGATTTTTTTGATGATTGTTGCAAATATCGCAGTGAAAAAGCATGGATTTTAAAGTGACCACATAGTTGACGTACCTAAAAAGATAAAATCTAAAACAAATTTCTACGACATTCCAGAAAACCAAGCAATCCTTTGAAAAGATAAAGCGTAATACTTTAAAATTTCATCAATGAATACATCTGATTTGTTATAACTTCAGTAGATTTTAGATGAAAGTTGTACTTAAACAAACTAATTTCTTACCACACAAATTCCAAAATGTAAGTGAGCAAGAGTTATGACAGCGACAGCAAATCGTAAAAAAATTAGTTCCTGATAAGCTGATAAAATACCCGATAAAGAGGTCACAGCAACGATCGAATATATTGCTAGGCATAAATTAAATAATTCCGCACGAGTGTTACACATCTGCGCGATAATCAATTTGCACTGCAATAAATTTTAGGTTTAATATGACCACTTATCATTTAATGATTAACAAGTAATTTGATGAATAGTAAACTGTATTACTTTCTGAGCAAAAACCCTAATACTAAATCTATTAAACTTTCTTACTGCAATATTCGAAAAAACAGTTCCCATAGTATAGAGATAAAGACGAGGATCACGTTCAACAATATTTCCAGGAGAATATACGGCCCAAAGCACCGAAATTGAAAATAAAATTAGGGATGGAAACAGAGGTAAACATATTTCGTAAAAATTATCCTGTAAAAAAATAAAGTTTTAACAGCAACTGTTAACTGAAAATGGCATTTTGAATATTTGATTCGAGGAAATGTTCAGTTGTTTGCTGATAATTAAGAAGTCAATTAAGATTAATATATCACCTGTTTTCCAGTATGATCTACAAAATAAGATAGATAAATGTTTCGAGCTGATACCACTAACGATATGTAGCAACATACTGAAATGGAAAACGTTGTATTTCTTGGCTTAAATTTCATCCTGAATGTTGAAGCCAATTAAATTTTGAAAATAAAAAATGATAGTTAGGCAATACACGTATTCTTCCTATGGCACAAAATAAGATAGATAAGTTAATAACAGTTACTGTTATTAACTAGTAATTATTTTAGAATGTAATGTTAAATGCAAACAAAATGATGTAGCACTGAGCTTCAACTCATGCAAGCTAAACAGTTTTGTTTTCAAGGGTTTCCAGAAACTTATATAAAATACATGAAAAACTGACCGTAGAAACCAAATTCTAAACAAAGAGCTGTTGTAAAATCAGCGAAAACATAAAACTTGAAGTAATCATCGCCTTTGAAAAATACAAACAAGTAAAATATAGCAAGTCCCTTAAAATTTTACGGTTTAATTAGGATTTACAAATTTCACATGCATTTTATTTTTAAAAATAATACTGAATTCTTAGAGAACTTACTGCATTTTATTCAAGGAATTTCAATCTTGCTTTCAAATAAAGCAAAATTAGCAAACAGATATTGGTTTAAACTAAACTTAGAATTTGAATTCTAACAATGATCAAAACATAAAAGAAAAAAGCTAACATATTGACTTAAGTCGTAATTCCATGGGAGGAATAGAATCCCGGTATTATATTTTTCCCAATGTGAAACGATGAATACCACTTGAACGCTGATCAAAACCAATAGAAGTCGAACTGGTGATAAGCTAAAAATTATAAAGTCATAGACTGAACTGGATAGAGATTTTCTTGGTTTTTTAACTTCCTTGATTTATTTTCAATTTAAATACTCAGCGTTACTCAGAGGAAAAAATCTGAACCAAAAATGCAGCAAATTTGCTCCTTTGATCAATCCAAAACGATTTCTAACTCATGTTCAAAAATCAGCCATATTTGTCGCAAATTTAAACATGCTTATTTGGCATAAAATATCTTCTCAATGTTGATCTCTACACTTACCTAAATTCACCTTGTCCAAAGATGGAGAAAACGGTTAACGTTAGTGGAACTGTAGACCATGAATCCAAACCATGATCAACTGAAAGAACTAGGATCATTTTTTTATAAAGTCTTAGAAAAATTACAAAAAAGTATAGAAATTTGGTCGAGGCTTCTTAATAATTATACATTGATCGTTAAACAATCCAAAATTGAAAAAAAAAGAAAAAAAAAATGAATACTAATAATCTTGTGTAACGCACAATGCAATGTATCAATATTGATTTCATATTCGTGTCCAAATTCCGATTTACTAATAAATGAAAGACTAACAAAGTTCACCGGTCGGTCCGGATACTCCAATGCGACGTGCTTGCTTACCGTCGGTACCGTCTAAGACATGTCCCATGAAAGTACAAATCGAGCATAGCAACCAGACCCAATCAGGAATAGACTCTGAAATTGTCAAACGTCAAATCACATTAACAATTTAAAAAAAAAAATAAATGTAACTGGAAATTTGAATCATTTACACTGATTAATTTCTTATGTGAGAAGAAATGCTATTCTCAACAGTTTTCAGAAAAAGAACCTATCTATCTCTTTGTACGTATCACTAAAATATTATGTTATCAACGTACTACACACAGCTATAGTAATTTAAGCTAGCCAAAAGCATCTAATATTTCACTAATGTTATTAATAAAGTGATGATTTAAAAAAATGATAAAAAATAGTTACTGAAATAATAATAATAAAGAATCCAATGTTTGAGAATTAGATTAAAAATGAGCGCAAGAAGAAAAAAAAAAAGCTTTTCCGGAATTTACGGCGAGAACAATCGAATTAGTTGCCACATAATAATCGTAATATGAGACGACCAAAAATGCGAACATAACAAATATGAACCCGGTGAGCGTTAATACATTTGGTGCCAGCCAAGTTGGATAAAACTGTTAAAATTGTTGTTCCAAATTGAAATTCCAATAATTTATATCAAAACCATAAAAAATTCCAATTTTTATTTCAAATATAATAGAATTTCGAGTATTGTAAGAGAAAATTAGTTATAAATAATGCTTATATTTTACAAAGAAAAAAAAAAGTACATTAATTATTCTTATCAAGCTAAGAATAATTTACCTGTACAATCCAATTCCAGAATGGATGTGAAACATATTTCGACAAAGGACTTGAATCTACACTGCAATACTGAAATGAAATTTCATTAATAAACGTATAAATTTCAATTTTAAAAGATTTTCAAAATAAAATTTAATATATTCAAACAATAAAATACTCACTTTGTACTTGTCAAATCCTTTCATTTGTTGTTCGCTGAGATATTTGTAATTGAACAATTCCAGCAGTACCATTTCTCACTGTAAAAAATGATGAAATAATTTTGTAGCGAAAAATTGAATTTCAATTTCAATCAATAATTCTTCAAAAAAGAAAAAAAAAACCATTAAGTAAAAAATAACGAAAATTGCTGCTACTGCCACTACTACTTTCACAAATATTGCTATCTTCTCGATAAAACATTTTTAAAATGATTGAAAGCAAAAAAAAATTGTTGCCGAATGACAATACTAATGAGATGTCCTCTCGATGACACTTGCTATGACCTCTCTGCACTTCTTCGCAACTTGACAACCTCCTCAAATACTATTATATCTCGTCCACAAATTTGTCCCACTCTCGCTGTCATCGAGAATTACACACTGGGCGGTTAGGCTAGCGCTCGCTCAATTGTACCAGTGGCGATTCACTAAACTGTTCAAATTGCCTTTCCAAGAAACAATTGAGAATCGAGCAATAGCAGTAGCAGTAGTAGTAGTAGTAGTAGCAGTAGGAACAGCAGTTGGCTGTCAATAGCTTATATAAATGATCGATTGATTATCGATCGATCGATCGGTCAATCAATTTTAGAGTTGGCATACTTTTTTCTAGCTAAAAAAAAAAAAAGAAATGTCACATTAATTAATCAATTTTTCATAAACATTTTTAATCTAATTAATATAATTAATCTGACAATTAAACATGTGCTATATAAACATATATATATGTCTATCAATTAAAGTTTTGAAAATTAATTTAAATTAGTTCAAAATAAAATTAATTGAAAATTTTGCTTATTATAAATGATTAATGTAATTATTTTAAAAAGCGCACTTTTTGTTTGTTTTCTTTTTTCCTTTTTATTTTTTGTACTTTATTTTGTCCATATTTCATCTAATTGCTTTTAATTGTTTACACTTTGTTGTAGCATTGCTTAGAATACTTTTTAGACATTTCCAGGTGCGTTTCAAAATAATTTGATCTTTGTCCTTTCTGTTTTAACAATGAATGTATCATTCATTTCTCTTCCCCTACAATCAAACCATCTAACAACGGAAACATCCAACACTTTAAAATCACTTTTTTTTTTGTGACATACACATACACTTACAGACATACGCATACACATACAAGACAGACACATACATACATATAAAATTTGTATTATTTGATATATATATTTAATGAATTGATGGAGAATTTTCAAGTGTAAAATTATTGTAGTAACGGAACAGATGTGATGAAATAAGATTAAAGACAGAGCTACCTGTTCTTTACCCATCTTTTTTTTACCCGACAGGTACCCGCATTGTGACCATCGAACAATAGAAGAAAGAGCAGATATCATTTTGTATACATTTGAACACTATTGCCACCCATATAATTTGTATTTTCATTTTTGGTACGAAGCGATGACTGACACAATACATTAAAAGATAACAGAGGAGAAGGAAAGGGTTATAAATGTTCAAACGGGTAAATACTTTCCTGGGTAAGTTTTGATACGTTTCATCAAATTTAACACTTTTTTTTTTTTGCTTTCAATTCAATTTATCATTTTTTCAATTTTGAAAATTTTAATTTCAATTTTCAATTCCAATTAAAATTTTATCAATCTAACAAACCAAAAAAAAAAAAAAAACAATTTTAAATTATCAATTGAAATAAACTGCTTATTTGGTATTTTTCAATTTTAACTTTTACAATAGCTAAGAAATTTTGCATTATTAATTAGTACAAAAAATATATTTTTGTTTAAAAAAAAAAAAAATTTATAAATGTGAAATTTAATTCTTTCCAGTTTATACGCTTCTGAAATTCTTTTAAATTTTATTTTTAAGTTTTATTTTGTTATCAGAAATTTGTGAATGATTTGAAAAGAAAAAAAAAAAAAAAAGCTTTTCTTTATACCAATCCTTCCTGCCATATGGTAATTTCTTCGTTTTTTTTTTTTTCCGGTTGCCTTCAATGAGAGATATCATATAAAGATTGTGACTAAAGCATTTCTCTAATCAATCTAATCTTCTAAACTGCATTTTAAATTAGTTTTAATTTTACTTGAAAATGTTATCCTAAATTTTAAAATCCTAAAATTTGATTGATAATTTTCAATCTTATTAATCGATTTCAAATTAATAACCAAGAAATCTAAGCAATCTAAGCGTCTAATTTTCATCTCTTAAATTAATTAATTACTATTAATTATAATAGTAATTTGAAGTAAAAATTCTATCTCTAATGATGATAATAACAAATGATGTTTTTTTTTTTTTTTTTTTTTTCCGTATCATTAATGGAAGCAAATTAGTAATCATTTTTATTTCTCTCTCTCTCTCTCTTCCTCTTTTTAAGCAACAAAAACTACCAAACGTTGAAGGTTACTTGAAAAAAAAAAAAAAGGAAAGAAAGAAGAAATCTTAATTTTATGTTATTATTTCTTATCATTCTCAAAATATTGATGCATTTATTTACATTAAATAATTGAAAATTTCTTATAAAGTGCGAAATTAATTTCATATTTATTCTAAGATTATTTCAATAAATTTCAATCAGTGATTTGATTTATACAGGAAAGCTGTGCAGTTTACGATTTCAAAAAATTGGAGCAATTCCCAAATTGAATGTTCTTTTTCAACTCTCTCATCCTGCAATTATTATTTAATGCATCATAGAATGTGAGAATTATGAATTTCTTCTTCAAAAATTAATATTTTCCTACCCTACGGGCTACTTTACCCGGATTGCATCGATCCATTTTTTTCATCCACTAAAATATGCTTGAAGTGTTTTCTAGAGACAAATAAATTCTAATATGAAAATCAATAAGAAAAGATTTGTTACTTATTCTATTCTCTATTTGATAATTTTCTTCTAATCCATTTTATTCTCTAAATCTTTCCCCAATACTTTTTCATTGTATTATTTAATCGCTAATAATCTCATTAAAAATTACAATAAAAACAAATTATAAGAATAAAATATCAATAATTTGTCTTATTTTCTATATTAATTCATATCTGTTAAATGTTATGTTTATTCAAAACAATTTTTCTTCTTCCACAAATTTTACATGCATAGCAGTTAAAATTGAAATTTTTTTCAAAAATTTCATATTATTTGCTATTTTTTTGATGCTTAGAATTGATACTTTTTTTATGATTTAAAATCCTTTAATATTTTTGAAAAAATTTTGTTGAATTTCTCGCAACTGAATAGAAAGAATTATAGTATTATGGGATTAATTTCGAATATTTTAGCACTCCGATAAAAAAAAAAAAAATGTTACAGAGAATTATATATGTTAAATAAATAATATCTGAAACGATTGATTACTTTCTGAATTTGTCTTTCAACTTTTCGACTTCTTTAATTGCTTCAAAATGAATTATTTTATGAATTAATTTTAAAAATTACTAGATAAATAGACAAATGCCCACAATATTTATGATCTTCCATTCTGCGATTACTTTTTTTTTTTTTTGAGAATTTAAATATATTAGTTAAAATGAGCTTCTTTTTGCATAATTGAATATTTAGAACTTAAATTTAATTCATAAATAGAAACTTATTTTTAGATAAAATTTAAAATTACAATCAGATCACTCTTGAAACTGAACAATTTTTTAATTATTTCTCACAATTATTTCTCTTTAAATTTTATATTTTGTCAACCTCCGAAATGCTAAAGAATTGTAAAATATTGCAATATTCAGTGTTATTATCAAGATGTACATATGCATATATTTTTTTATGAATGATTTGCAATTGAGCTTTATGTAACGTGATACGTGATTATGTCACGTCGAAATCAATCGAGAATAGTTCAAAAATTATGGTAATAATTTTATTGTTATTATTTTTTAATTTTTTTTTTTTAATACTTAAGTACTAACTGCTATATTTTTCTTTTTTCAAAACTAGTGCAATACTTCTCATTTCAAATAAAGACATTTTTAAATTGTCAATTTAATGTGACACTAAAGTATGCTTTTTGCTTTATACCAGTAGTTAGTTCTATTTCATGTTTCTTTTCATCATAAATTTTCTCTAATACTTAAATTGTGTTCAAAAAAAAAAAAGCCAATTTTACATCGTCCTTTTATTTCCTTTTTTTTTTTTAAAAAAAAAAAAAAAAAAAAAAAAGCAAACTTGTTGAATTTAATTTTGTAATAATGTGCATACATTGGTTTCTCCAATTTATTGGTAATTTCACAAGCGCTAATGTCCAAAAAAACATTTGTTTAATATTGTTGAATATTTTTCATCTTAATTTAACACCAAACTGAATAATATTCTCAATTATTTACTTTTTATTTTATTATTTCAAATGATGCCATCCGGAAAATATTATTCAACTGAAATAGCACAATGAATTTTAATTTTCCGCATAAAATTACCAATTTTTTATACTTCATATTGCTGCTATCTTTCCTCATCAAATGGATAATAATTTCCTGCGATGATTTTTGATCATTTTTTTTTGTTCATTAAAATTTTTTTTTTTACCTAACCTATAGAAGGGGTAAATTTAGTAGGTGAGAAAGAGAAATGTCATTAAATGACTTTCACATTTATATATGTATATATGTATTATATCTACATTTAATGATAACCGTGTATTAGGGAAAGAAGGCAATGAAATATTTCACTTTGCCTACCCCACCCTCTCTCCCATTTCTGCCCAATGTTTGGGTCATTGTCCAGTCTTCAGGCAAAAATAGTTACCAGCGTAAATTTCACATACCATTAGATGCCTTCCTGTTGCTATCTCTCTACCATCTGTTAGCTTTTAGTTTTATGTCTGCGCAACAGCTGTCTGATATAAATATTTGCTATTTCGATTAGAACAATCTAAAAAAAAAAAAAAAAAATAGGGACCAAATTTTTGTTCTGTCATTTGAGTTAAATTCCGGTTGACATTCTGATCGATGATCGAAACAATGTATATAAATATATATGGCCAAGAAGGATAGCATTGTATGCCTTGCTTGGCTTCTTCCTTGCTTGGCTTCTTTCCTTTCTAGGCTTTTTATAAGCTTTTCCTTTCCGTTTTCCCTTTCAGACTAAATTGATACATTGATTTTGTCCTCTTCTCATGTCTCTGTCTCTTCGTTTATTTTATTGATTCGTTGTCGTCCACTTTTGCTGCAAATAAAATGACCCTATTCGATGACTTGTATTCCGCATGTCATAAATATATTGTTGTGTTTATTATTATCATTAATTACTCTTACTATGGTTATTATTATTATCCTTAACAATTGTTATTAATTATTATTATTCTTTGAATTATGCTTTATTAATTAAAAAAATTATTTTTCGTTTTCCTCTTATTTTTGTTTACTTTTTTAATTTAGAAAAAAAGAAC